GCCCGTAACTCCCGAACCCCGGGGGCTATCGACGCGGGGGTGGTCTCATTCGAAAGAGAGCCTCGAGACGTACACTCGATTCGCGTTCGGGAGGGTTCCTCGATCTGAAGGGATCCCCGAATTTGGTGCGGATTCACCGCGCCTTTACGGAGATATGGCTGTTCAAAGTTTCGACCTCTGCGTGTAAAGCACGTTTTATTATGGATGGATGCGCTTTCTTTGACGACTTTTGGACTGTTGAGAGAAAAAAAACACCCGCCTAGTGCCATTATAAAGCTTGGAAAAGCAAGGACAATTTTTAATATAACTCCAATTGGATTTGTCTTAAAGAAAAAAGTCATATACACCTAGGATGCCTTGAGGGTGAGTAATTTATGGGCTAATTTTCATTTTTGGGTGAACTAACCCTTTAAGAGTGCATTTCCTGAAAATCTAAACTTAGTCTGGAATTTTCTGAAAATGTACTTGCCCTCAGGCCATTCAAGATGTAGATGAGTTTTTGTTCATCAGAACAGATTTGGAGAAATTTAGCACGACATCACTTGTTCACCAATGGATCCTCTGCAGTGAATGGGTGCCGTCAGAATGAGAGTCCAAACAGCAGATAAAAACATCACAATAATCCACAGGTAACCCACACCACTCCAGTCGTTCAGTTAACATCTTGTGAAGTGAAAAGCTGCATGTTTGTAAGAAACAAATCCACCACAATGTTTTTAACATCAAATTTTTGCTTACAGCTAAAATACAGTGAAAAAATAGTTGAATCAGGAGAGAAATATACATAGATCAAGCACAGTCTACAAGCAAAAACAATTCTAAACCAATATGTTAGTGGATTTTGATGCGAGGACAACAGTGGATGGACTTTTTCACTGGAAAAAGCAATATTATGGACTCCATATTTTGTCCATAAGCAACAGTATAAAGTTCAAACACCTTGATGGATTTGTTTCTTGCAAAGATGCAGCTTTTCACTTCAAGATGTTAATCGATGGACTGGAGTGGTGTGGATTACTTGTGGATTGTGATGTATTTTACTCTCATTCTGACGGCACCCATTTACTGCAGAGTAAGCAAATGATGTAATTTCTCCAAATCTGTTCTGATAAAGAAACAAACCCATCTTGGATGGCCTGAGGTTGAGTACATGTTCAGCAAATTTTTATTTTTGGGTGAACAATTTCTTTAAGCACTACATTTCAGACTGTAGTATTTGGTAAATAAGGAGCTGTTTTTTTCCTGTCCAAACACATCTCAGTTTCTCAGGTGCAGCCCTTGCAGCAGTGCGCTGTGGTGTGTAAACCCTCACAATTCTTGGATAAAAAGAAGAAACGTATCCAAACTGAGGTCAGTGTGCAGCTGGTTGTTCTTTACATGTTTTACAATGTACAACAATAATTAACATTGTGCCGCCCAGGAGATTTGGGAAATTGCAGTTCATGTCAGTTTAAAATCATGTAATGACCGTAAAGGCCAGTAGATGGCTGAAGTTTTCTGTGCATCCAGCTTAATAACTACACATCATTTTTTTAAGAATGTCTTTATGAACTTTGTGAAGCATGTTTTGGCAAGTTTTGGGTGAATTAACTTAATGGAGAGACATAGATTTCTCAGGTTTCATTAAAAGCTGTCAAGCAATGGTATATTTTGCACTTGTTGACCGTAACTGAGATGTTACTTTGGCGCTTGACATGAAGATTAAATGAGGTTTTCTTCTGGTAAGGTGTGTGAGGGGAAGGAGAACGGAGGTGTGGATCGTCCCTCTGCTGATGACGTCAACTGGGAGTCCCATCTGGATTCGGCATTACTAGAGCAGTCCAGGAAGAAGATCCTGCAGACGCTGAACTCCGGCTCTCTGAAGGATCTCAAGAGCCTGCAGCTGATCGGAGACAAGAAAGCCAAACTGATCATGGGCTGGAGAGAGATTCATGGGGACTTCACATGGGTATAAGTTTGGCTCTTCCCCTGTGATGTGTGAAACTCTGACATGGAGAGGCTCAATTAATATTTAGTTTTCAAATTTTATTTTTTTTCTTTGTTTGTAGTTGGAAGACCTGAAGAAAATCGAAGGCATTACAGCTAAACGTTTCTCCTCTTTCATAAAGGTTTGTGGTTTGTGTCAGTAATGTCTGCCTGCTATGGATCTTTAATAATGTGTCAGGAGAGAAGCACACTAGAATGTGATTTAGAAGATTTCCCTTGAGTCACATGCTTTCTTTTTCCCCTCACAGGCCAATATTCTCAGCAGTATGGGAAAGTGAAGCGTACGAGCCACTGTGTCTGAAGAGGAGCGTTTGAACACTTGTGATTTGTTTTTAAGATGTTTTTACACATTTTGAGTGTAACATTTTGTACAGGGTTGTTTTTGTTTTTTTGTACAAGCTTCTGTGTATACTTGACTGCTTTTTCCATGTTTTCTATCATTTCGGCATGCTATTTTGCCTTTTTAGTATTTAACTTTTTTTTTCTTTAAATGAACTGATCATTAATCGTGGCACCAAATAAATGCCACCATCACATAAAGAAGCTCTCTGAGGGTTTTTTTCCGCCAGATGGTTAATTGGGTGTAATACTTGAAATGGTTAGTTTTATAAACCACTTGAGGTGAACAACTAAATCATTTGTTCTCAAAAACATCCTTTTACAGAGATCTGCCTGATGATGTCAGTTACTCTCCTATAATTATCTGTCTGAAAGTTAAACTTCTATGAATGCATATGCAGTAAGTCAAAAATGTATATGCCTTTTCATCGCTAATTTTTCATTGCGCATCTTTAGTAAACCTTGACAGTTTCTTAATGCCAAATTAGGCTTTGCGCAGGTGCATGCTGCTAGCCAGATTTACGATTTTAGTATTCAGAGGCATCCATTCAGACCAAGACAATTTTGAAGCCAAATGTGTGTTAGGTTAACAAATTAGTGTTTTGAAAAATTTGGAAGGATTTCTTCAAATGACTATTTTGAAATGAAACTTCCAAAAGACAAAACAAAAATATGACATTTCATAATTATGCTCAAATATTACTGTATGTCGACACAAAACATTTTAGCATTTAATATCATTATATCCTTTTAAATGTCAGCTTTTTGTGATAATGGCTTGCCCATTGGCTGAACCCTGTGCACACTAGGGAATCTGTCTCTATCTGAGGGTTGTCCCCCGCCCTAACATACCAATAAATAATGTTTTATACTTTAAATAATTGTGTAAGTGCTAAAACAACGCAAACGGGGCAAAAATGCGTTTTCAGTTTAGAAACATTTTGAGTCTCCCCTCCATTGCCTCACAGTGCTTTGGTCCAAATGCCTGCTTTCCTCTTTTACATCACCTACATGCACACACACACACACGAGTCCAGTGAGAGAGAACAAAGCCAAATAGTTGTGGAACTCCAATAAGTAAGGCTGTCAAGGCGATTTTATTCACTTAAACATCGGATGAAGTGATTATTTTCTCTTTAATACAGATGATGCCAATGTATTTTTCGATGAGTCGCTAACAAAGTCAAATAGTTGTGGAACTCCAATAAGTAAGGCTGTCAAGGCGATTTTATTCACTTAAACATCGGATGAAGTGATTATTTTCTCTTTAATACAGATGATGCCAATGTATTTTTCAATGAGTCCGCTATGTTAGCAATAATAACGTTACCTGCTTGACAAAAAGGGTTGCCAGGTTTTCTACAACAAAACCTTCCCAATTGCTACCCAAAACTTTCCCAAACTAACCGCGTTTTGAGGAGGTCCCCTGGTAAAAATCGCATTCCGGGGGCTAAAATACACGTTATTGGGGTCGCTTCAACCCGCGGCAACAGTGATAAAGTAGCCCAATTCCACAGGAACACCGCGGACTTGGCAACCATGTGGCGGATACAACGGACACGAGCGCTGTCTCGGCACGACCACAACAGCTTGAATTTGTCTAATTTGTCTCCCTGCTGCACTAATAGTAGTAAGGCTTTCCTCTGTGTATACATATCCTTACAAGTACAATTTTAGCTGTATTATATGTGTCCCCTTCAAAAATTGCTCTTGAGAAATTTAGTTTATTGCCAAAATTACTACTTTCTTTTTCAGTGTATCTGTTACATTCTTACTGAGTAATAATGCGTAGCTTACTTATTTTGTGGAAATGCTTGTCAATTGTATCGTGTAGCTATTATCATGGTCAGCCTTCACAATGAGGCTGTCACTCGTGTTTGTTTGTTTTTCTCGTCACAGGTATTTCTAGTGCGTGTGTCCCCTTCAAAAATTGCTCTTGAGAAATTTAGTTTATTGCCAAAATTACTACTTTCTTTTTCATTGTATCTGTTACATTCTTACTGAGTAATAATGTAATGAAAAGGAGCGAACATACTCTCAGAGCTAATTCTTTGGCTAAGAAATTATTACAAAATGATATACAAGATTTCTGGAAAGAAGTTCGAGTCATGAATGCTAGTAAAATTCCTCTGCCTTCTAGTGTTGAAGGGGTTACTGGATCTGAAAATATTGCAGATCTTTGGAGAAAGCATTATAGTGACCTATTCAATTGTGTTAAAAGTGACGATTTCATTATTGGGAATGTGTCTTTTAATAATGAGGTTATCAAGGCTGAGGAAGTAGCTTCTGCTATAGGAAAATTAGTTCTGAATAAATCTTGTGGCCTAGATCAGATCACAGCAGAGCATTTGAAATTTGCTAAAATGCTTGTCAATTGTATCGTGTAGCTATTATCATGGTCAGCCTTCACAATGAGGCTGTCACTCGTGTTTTGTTTGTTTTTCTCGTCACAGGTTTTTCCAGTGCGCGCAGTTGATGTAGTTTACTCATCTTCTCACGCTGTTTTACTCTCCTCCCGTGTCCTCCTCCTGTCCAGTGAGTGTGAGCCTGCAGCCAGTGATGATCCCAGCATCCCCGACCACACCACCGCGTTATTTTTCTTTTTAATGCACGTTTAAATGCCACACGCCGGAATATCGAATTTTCATTAGAATCGTCTGAGATACTGTTTATGCAAATGGACTAACAGCGTACGTGCGAAAACAAGCGCACACTGGCTGGAATCGCGCGGTGTAAGTTGGCTGTTTATTTATGTATATGTATGATACGTGTACTAATAAACGTCTGAATGATTTTGAATGTCTATGGGAGACACAGTCCTTTGTTTTATGAGGAAACAAAGGGCGTCCCGACCTGGATAGGTGAATTGTACCTGTGTTATTGGATGCATGAGGACAAAGAACAGCTTTACGCTGTGCATCGTTATTAATTAATCTCTAAATTCGTCATTATAGCGTAGCTTATATATGAAGTACGGACTAAATTATGTTTTGTACACTCTCTTTTCCTCTCTCCCTCCATATGTCTCTTATTTTCCCCACGGCTTTGTCTATTTGCCCTCATGTTCTCCGCGCATGTATTCGTGAGAGAATCCAGTGCTTATTATTGACTGACACCATATGTTCCCACATACGGTATTTACCGTAAAAATGTTACGTTTTTTCGTTTGTTTAATTATCAAATTTAACCCTTTTATTAGTAAAACGAGAATAAAGAAAAACGAGTAATGTCCTAGCAGAAAATTACCTCTTTTTCCGTCAAGTTTACCGACGTTTTCTTCAAACCTAAAACACAACACTATTCAAAACAGGGTAAAACACCTGAGAAGAAAAGAAGAGGGAGAGAAAACAAAACAATAGGCGGGAAATTCCTTCATTTTATCACGGTAGCTACATTAGGCCGTTTTTTACAGACTTTAATAGTTGAATAAATATGATGTTAAGTATATTACAATCGATTAATAGAATCTTTATTAATTCTGCTGAAAAAATGAATGTTATAACATCTATGTCTGTAATCGAGGTCAGTTTCATGACCTACATATCTAGGTTAAGAGGTTAAAATGAGATAAACAAGCATGCCTGTTAATGAACAAACCATTGCTATGATAAAATGATCTTCTAACAAAGCAGATGAGTTGTGTTTGTGGGGGAAAAAATAGCTCTGGGATGCTGAATTGGGAGGGATGTGATGTGTGTGTTGATGACACCATGTGCTGGAGTGTGAGTTTGCATCTCAACATGTATTTCTGTGCGCTCACCGCGGATGGTAATGAGATTCATCCCCTGTGCACATAAATCTCACTATTTTTCTTCTGTTTTTAGCCACACGGGACGCCATCTGAACATCAACGCAGCGCTGGCCACATTCGCACCCTCTGCCGTCTCTATGGAAACCGAGTACCATCAGGCATCCTTGGGCTCTCCGGTTTGTACCCAAGACGGAGAGCCGATGAGCTGCCAGACCCCGGGCCCTGTGACATACCAGCCGGGGACCACCGGGGTCGGATCGGACTCCTTCCCATGTCTGCGCCCCCTCGCTTTCCCCCAGCAGTCCAATGAGGAGGCGCGGCGCTCGGGAGAGGTCACCGTTATGGTCAAGGAGAAAGCCGAGAGTGGTAGTTCATCAATTCATCAATAATATGTCATTCTGGGAGGGGTTTATGAGGGAGGAGGGATAAGAATAATTGATATGAAAGCATCTGCTTCGTCTCCAGGAAGAAAATGTTGGGGACTTTCAGGTCCTGCTATGCCAATCACACTACAGTCATTTGCATACAGCAATCAGGATAATGACTTTAAAAATGGCATGTAATTAAACAGGCAAACAATGGAGATGAAGTGAGTGTTTTCAGAGCTCAAAAACTACAGCTACAAAGACTAAAGTTTGGGGAAAAAAAGACTTAAATGACTGTAAAACTAAGTATATAAAACCAAATTGGTGTTTAGTATTATTTGTATAATTTGAATGAGCTTTTTTTATTTTTATGTATTATGTTAATTTTAGTTTGTTTTAATAAATCTATTATGTGCTTTTAAGCTTTTTATATATATATTAAAAAGCCTAAAACACATCATATATATATATATATATATATATTAGTTAGTAACTTTATTTATCCCCTTGGTGAAATTTTATTAATTTAATTGTTAATTGTAATTACATTACAAAATGTAAATTTTGTTACACACACACATGTACAGTATTTTTTTTCACTTCAGTTTTAAGTTTACTTTTATCAATTGTATCTATTTTTTATTTTGTGTTTGTGTATGTATATATAATTATATGATGCGTTCTTTCAGGATTTTATAAGCAAATAGCTTTAAAAGCTAAAAGTGAAAATGATTAATTCAGAAAGCACTTCCTAGCAGCATTGTTTGCCGCAGAGTAAATCCGATCATTGTAAATAATGCACAGGCTCTTCTGAGGGGCATTTCTTTGTTACTAACCACTGAATGATTGAGAGCTGGCAGTGGACGAGCTCAACAACCCATGACCGCTTTGTTATTTATTGTGGCTCGATGATGCTCTAATCAGTTCGTTTGAGGTTAAGAGGGAGATATTTTATTTCCCTTATTTTACAGTCGCTGAGTGTATCGTAAATACTCTTAATTAAATTAAAGTTGTGCATCCTAATTAAAATTGCCAAAGGGGCTTCCTGGCAGGAGGGGCTGAAAGG